GACAAGTGCCTCCCCCACAGGGGCCCCTTGAGCCATGCCCAAGTCCGTGAGGGAGTAAGATGCCTACTCACAATTTTGAGATAGGCTTGGATTCCAGTTTCAGGACTGCCACTGATTTGCTCTGGAATTCAGGTGCTTTTTAACCTCTCTTCACCTGGAAAAAGGGGTAAGAATAAGTTCAGCCCATCTCATGGGAATGTAGTGAGGAGAAAACCAAACAATGCATGCAGAAGTGTTCTGAAAAGCTGAACGATCAGATACAAATGTAGATATTATTATGTTCATAAGGTTCTGAGTGTACTCATCCTTCTGTTTTTTTTCAAGCGGGCGAGAAAGATTGCCATTTCCTTTTGCACCTAATTTGAACAAAAGATACAAACATCCCACGTTGACTTTTCTCCTACTTCAAGCATTTGGCTTGAAGAAGCCTTTTGTCAGCAAGCTGACAACTAATAGAGTTGAAAGGAAATCCAAACTCCACTCCAAGTCAGGGGTGTGGAGGTGGAGAGAACAGGACACGTTGCTGGAACTTTCCTGGTCTCCAGGAAGAAACTGAACAGGACTGCAGAGGTAACTATCATCACACAACCTGTTACAGACCCTGCAGAGAACCAGATTTGTCTAAAAATTGCACAACAGGGGTACCTGGGTAGCTCAGTGAGTTAAGCCTCTGCCTTCAGCTCAGGTCATTATCTCAGGATCCTGGGATGGAGCCATGCATCCCGCTCTCTGCTCAGGAGGGAGCCTGCTTTCTTTCTCTCTGCCTGCCTACTTGTGATCTCTCCCTCTCTGTCAAATAAATAAATAAAATCTTGGAAAAAAAATTGCACAACAGGGGGAGATGGCTTGACTCTACTTAAAGCTTATCTAGGAGAGAATCTCAACTGTTGAAGTAGAAACGACATAGGCTTTGCCCCAAGCATAAGAGATGATGAGGGAAGGATCTTCCCACCTTGGGAACTTGTCCCCATGCAGTTTCCTCTGCCTGGAACACATCTTTCCTCTTCACTGTGTCTTTTCTTAAGGAACTATTTCTTAGGGAAGACATCACACCCCCCTTCCAGATCATATCTAGTGTAAAAAAATGTTAGTAAGCTAAACTTCTCCTTTCTAATTGCTGGTCATTGTTGGAATTAGGAATTCATTAGTTTAACTGATTAGTGTCTGTTGTTCTCTCCCCTCTCCTCAGTAAGCTCCCTGGGGAAATGGAAGAGTTTGATTTTTATAGAATCCCCCAAACAGAATATAGTATCCCCAGCTCAAAGTGAGTCCTCATTAAGTATTTATTAAATAAGTGATGAAAGAAATACGATCTGAAAAGAACTTCAAAGCAGATTATTTCAGATCACAAATTATTTCTATATAGACACATTTATGTAAATATATGCTATTTACAAAAAAAAAACCAACCCTTAATTTATTGTAGCTCAGGGAGGGAAACCATAAAATGAGAAGGTTAATAAATCAATTTTAATAACAAGTTAGTAGTAAGGAAATATCCTACACACCCTGAATAAAGAGCTCCTACAGACTGGATGGTTTACAAGGTCCCAACTGCCCATGTTTACACATTTTGAGAAAGGGATGTGGAAAGTGCAGAACTATTGCTTCACAGGCTTGAAGGCACAGCTCACAATCAGTGGAGCTCAGAGAAAAATTCCCTTCTGGACCAGGTATCATGTGATAGAACAAAAAGTTGAATGATAAGGCCACCCAGTTTCACTCAAGTTATCAGGATGGCTCCGAGAAGCATAAATAAAACAGCAGCCAGTTTTGTTGCATTCTGTTTATTTTCTTCTGTTTTGAAAAGTGAAAAAGTGTGGCTAATTTGGCATTTATTCATATGAGCGTAAATAAATGAGGAAGGTAAATTTTTCAAAAAATATTCAAGCACTATGGCAAGATACAACAATTTTCTTTTTTTTAAAAGATCTTATTTACTTATTTGAGAGAGAGCTCAAGGTTGGGCGGCGTGCAGGGAGAGGCAAAGGGAGAGAGAGAAACAGAAGCAGGCTTCCTGCTGAGCAGGGAGCCCCACATGGGGTTCAGTCCTAGGTTCCTGAGATCATGACCCTAGTGGAAGGCAGATGCTTAACTGGCTGAGCCACCCAGGCACCCTGCAATTAATATTCTTAATGTCTATCAAGCTGTACTCCAAGACACCATGTTTTTTAGATAAAAGACAGTCTCCATCCCCCTTCCATCTGTTTTAATCTCTTACACACACTTACTTACACACAATTTAGTGCCAATTTTCAACAAAATGAGGTTTCTTTTCCATTTTTACATTTTCATCTTCCTTTATCTTTCAATTATTCTATGGAACATGTAATTATGTTCTAACTTCCTCACTAAGTTGAATTTATGACTTTCTGTGAGCTGAAGTCTACTCCATTCATTTGTGTGTTAAAAAAGTATAAAGAATAAGGATGCTGAGTAATAAAGATCAGGTCTTTTCTGGAGCTTTTAAAGCTATAGTGTTTCTTTTCTTTCCTTCAAAAGTTATACACTATAAATTATATTACAAATAAAAATGAATTAAGTGAGACTGAGAGGTTAGAGAAGAAAAAACAGAGGCGCCAGTTTCTGTAGAGGGTCTTTAATGGATGATACTTTGATGCTATCAATTTGGAAAGAAAAAAATCAAATAAAAATCCATTTCATACTCATTTTGCAGACCTCATCCTTTTGTTTTCATATAAGTAACTCTGACACTGTCTTATTTTATGTAAGACCTATGTTGTTCTTCTACTGTTCTAATATTATGCAAACGAATCCTACTGCCTTAAAGGCAGACAAATTAAACCATTCAATCTGTTTAGTAATTTCAAAGTAACAATAAGCAAGGTGCTTTCACCTATTTTTTTTTTAAGATTTTATGTATTTATTTGACAGACAAGTAGGCAAAGGGGCAGGCAGAGACAGAGAGAGGAGGAAGCAGGCTCCCCACTGAGCAGAGAGCCCGATGCAGGGCTCGATCCCAGGACCCTGGGATCATGACCTAAGCTGAAGGCAGAGTCTTTAACCCACTGAGCCACTCAGGCGCCCCTCACCTATTTTTTTTATTTAAGAGTTTATTTATTTGACAGAGAAAGAAAGAGATCACAAGCAGTGAGAGTGGCAGACAGAGGGAGAGGGAGAAGCAGGGAGAAGCAGGTTTTCTGCTGAGCAAGGAGCCTGATGCTGGGCTCAGTCCCAGGACACTGGTATCATGACCTGCGCAGAAGGCAGCTGCTTAACTGACTGAGCCACCCAGGTGCCCCACACTTTCACCTGTGTATCACCAGCCATGCCATTCCTCCTTTATTTTTGCATTGCTCCTACTACTATTAGCAGAAATCCTAAGAGATCAGATAATAAAAAACCCAAAGAGGTCTTGATATTTTCTTCAGCTTCATAATCAAAGCCCATCTCAAGCTATGAATTGCCTTCATCCTCAAGATTGTTTGAAACTTGTTAATTTATTTTTTCTTTGGGAAAGTAAGAGTGAATCAGGACCAAAGAGAAAACTGCCACTTGTTGCCCTTTGATGAGTCTCTTCTTTACTCCATTTAGTGGCAGCAGCTGGGAGTGCAGACCTCAGTTTATTCCATGCTAGGGGAAGAATCTCTTTTTTTTTTTTTTTTCTCCCCATAATGGTGAATATCTAACAGAGTTCTTCGATTATAGAAGATGTTTGATGTAAATTTGACAAAAGAATGGGTGAGTAAAAGAATAATGCAATGTTGATTGTTTAAAAATGAATCATTTCCACTCCTTTATCTAACTTCAGTTTGAAACCCCTTGATAATCAAACTTTACAAAATTGGTTTAAGGTCTCTCTACAGAGAAATAGACCATGGCATGGAGAAATGTGGCTTCAGGAGAGCTTAGAAAGAAGGACCGGTGCTCAACCAAGTTTCACATGAAGTAACTTGTCTGAGCAACACTTCCAAGATTCTCCAGAGGGAGAAAGGATTGTTTTGCAGTATGAGGCAAAGTAAAGTGTTCCCAGGAGCGGAAATATTTTAAATGCTTTCATTTAGACAGGGCAATGGCCTGTTTAAATCAAACCACCACCCTTAACCTTGGTCTATAAGGCTATCAGGGAGATAAAGTGTCACTTACTCTGAGAGAAGTCTGCTTTTATCTGGCCTACATTTGAATCCTGCTTTTCTTCACACTTTTCCTTTGCTTTTACTTTTTTCTCTCAATGACTATGGAGTTTCCTGCTTGATTTCTCTTTAGGGGTCCTATTGGTTAAGGGGTGAAGGAATGAATAAATCCTAATCCTAAAAAGATAACTGTTTCAGTCTTCTTTGATAAAAGCACAAGCTCCTGGCTTCTCCACGGTGTGACTCCAAGGGGCGGCTGAAGGCCACCCCCCAGCAGACTGTGAGTCAGAAACCGGGTTAACTGCCTTCCCTCCCAAGTGCCCTCAGGGCCATCCCCAAGAAGTAGTGACTTCCAGGACCCGAACTCGTACTCTGTACCCTGTGCTGAGAGAGCACAGACTCCCTTTAAAGACAAAAGTTGCAAAGAAGAATAACCTTGAGAAAGACCCTTTCTATGCAGATCAATGCTCAGGAACAGCGCCAACCACTTACAACTCCCCTTCGACATTTCACAGAAGTGTTTCCAGGCTGGAGAAGAGGCCTTTTTCTACCCCAAAACCCAAATCCCTGTTTTGTGCCTCGGGTGCAGTGGGGTCTTATAGGATGAGCCGCTGGGGAGATAGGGGCCCCCTGTCCTCTCCTTGGTCAACTAGAGTCACCTTGCCAGAGGGCTCCCCTGCCTCCCTGGGGATACTTCTGTGGTGCCTCGACTTGAGTCTCTCTGGGGAATTCTCTATCTGTTCTGGAGGTCTCCTGGAGTTCCAACTTCTCAGCCCCAAACATCTGCCCGGAACCATCCGGGGGTCCCCATCCCCCAAGCTCTGGGACGGCTGCAGGGCTGCGCTAGCCATTAGTGGCCATCATCCATTTTTAATCAGAAAGATCACAAGAAAGATGGTAAGCGAATCCCAGTCGCAAGTCAATTTAAATAACATTCCTGGGGAAATCCAATCACTTAAAACTGAGACACCTACGCCAGCAAGAGCCCCCCGCCCGAGCGGCGGGGAAGAGCGCGACGGCTGAATTAATCGAGACCAGGGGGCTGCCGGGCTCACAGCGGAGCGTTAACCCTTCCAGCCCCGGAGGGTGACAAGGGGGGCTTGGAAGAGTGCGGCCGGCGGGGCGAAAATGCCCACGGCAGCCACGGATAGGCTGCCTCTGCCATCTTGGGCGGCTCCGAGAGCCCTGAGGCGGGCCGGGGCGGCTGGGCGCGCGGGGTTAAGGTCAGAAGCTCAGGAGGACGCTCCCGCTGCGAGGAGCGGCCGCCTCCCGCAGCCTGGGCGCGCCTCGGGCTCCTCCTTCTGCCCAAGCGTGGCCAAGTGAGGACTGCTCCGGCCGCAGGTAGCGGAGGCGCGGGAGGCGGCGCGCGGAACCCAGCGCAGCGCCCGGGGAGGGGCCGACGGACACGCGGACAGACGGATCCCCCCAACCCCCTCCCCGGACATTAGCGACGGTCTGCGCCGGCCATGTGGGGACCCGGGGTCACAGCGGAGGGCCTGTCGGTGGCGCCGGCACCGCCGCCGCTGCTGCCGCTGCTGCTACTGCTGGCGCTGGCGCTGGTGGCGCCCTCGCGGGGCGGCGGGGGCTGCGCGGAGCTGGCGTGTGGCGAGCGGGAGCGCTGCTGCGACGCGGCCAACGCCACAGCGGTGCGCTGCTGCAAGCTGCCGCTGCACGCCTTCCTAGACAACGTGGGCTGGTTCGTCCGCAAGCTCTCTGGGCTGCTTATCCTGCTAGTGCTCTTCGCTATCGGCTACTTCCTGCAGCGCATCATCTGCCCCAGCCCACGCAGGTACCCGCGAGGCCAGGCGCGGCCAGGGCAGGCGCGGCCCGGACCGCCGGGGGGCGCAGGGCCGCCGGGGGCCGCGGGGCCGCCCGACGACGACGACGACTCGCCCGCGCTACTGCGCGACGAGGCGGCCGCCGGCTCTCAGGACTCGCTGCTGGACAGTGGCGGCGGGGGCCGAGGCCGGGGAGGCGGCGGGCGCTCGGCCCCCTCCTGCGCCTCGGAGCACGAGCTTCGTGTAGTCTCGCCGGTCTTCCTGCAGCTGCCCAGCTACGAGGAGGTCAAGTACCTGCCCACCTACGAGGAGTCCATGCGGCTGCAGCAGCTCAGCCCCGGGGATGTCGTGCTGCCCGTGTCGGTGCTTGGCCGCCCGCGAGGCGGCGGCTCCGGGGAGTCCGACGGCGGCGAGGGCCGCTTCCCGCTCATCTGAGCGTCTGTGGCCGCTCGAGGACCGCGCGGACAGAACTGGGCTAGGGGGACTGCGGGTGGGACGCGACGACCGAGGTGGCCGCTGCCACCGCCGACTGCCTCAGACCCCGCCTGGCACCCGGGCCGAATCGCCTGTCGCCCGGCGCCTGGGTTGGAGTCACCTCCACTCCCGCTTGCCCCGGTATCTTAAGTTTCCCTACGTTTCATTCGGTTCAAGGAAACGTTAGGCTCGCACGGCGGGGGCGACAGAAGCGGACGAGGCTGGAGCGCAACTTCGAAGGACGTCCCCGCCCTCAGCCTCTCCTCAGACCTGTGTTCACTCGTAAGTGCCTGCTTTCCGAATCAAAGAGAACACGTGAGCCCTTTAGTGCGTCGGGAGAAAGGCTGTCACCTTTGGGGATGCGGGGAAAGGGACGCAGTTCCATACCTCTGCCTCTCGCCTGGACAGGTCACGGTCTCCCAAGATGGGCGGAGGGCGAGGAGCCGTAGAGGCGAGCGGCGACTGGAGACTGCTGCGCGCGGTCGGGGAGAGCAGCGCCTAGGTATGATTGAATCCCTCCCTCCCTTGCGGAGAGCCCCAAAATCCCCCCCCCTTAGTATCTTCCTGGCCAAGCATAGTCACCGCTGATGGCTCACAATACCGGGAGGGATACCCGTGATATCCAGTTAGGTGCTGTACCTATTGAAAACACACAGGAATTAGGTGTATCGAACATCGTATTCTTAATAAGGTACAGTTGGACTTTTGATTTCTCAATAACTGAGAAGATATTTATATTTATTTGTCTTTTATTTTTGTATTTTTGCCATGTATTGAACGTATCAGGAGTGTATTTGTGCAATTAATGACAAGAAAATCGTCTTTTCTTCTATATGGCCCTCTTCCCCTTAATGGTCTGGGAATTGTCATTATTGTTTAATAAAATATTGGACATGATTTCATTTACAATGGGGGAAAAAAGAGGCATGGTCAAAAGAGAAAACAGATGTGACCTAAAACACATGAAGGATATCTTATTTTCACTATTTGAGAAGAATATATTTTATTTTTAGTACTGTGGCATAATATACAACTTTTTGTAATAAGCATAGATTGTGTAGTCTAGGTCTTAATTGTATCACTCACCACATAATTGTATGTAGAAATGATTGATGCATAATATGCCATACCGTGGCATGAAGCATGATGTCATATGCTTTTCCCTTTATTTTGAAGTACATTCCACAACATGACACAAAACATAAGAACTTGTGACTTCTCTTTAAAGCCATAATTGTGCAAGTAATGTACTACAGAAGGATTTAGTCAACATATCCTAAGAAAAAAATAAATGTCATTGTATCAGTTCTACCATTCTATGAAATGTCCTTTAAGCAAATGGTAATATAAAATATTAAAATGCATTATTTATAATGTACATATGCACAGTCTATGTACAATATACATATTGTATACCACATAATTACTATAGTTTATGACCAGCATGAAAGGAAAAGGAAAACAAATGTTTCTCTGCTTGGAGAAGGATGAGTGTTATATTAAGAAAGATTTTACATGTGTGAACCTTACATATGTATCTAGAAACATTGTTCTTATGATTGAAAAAAGGTTGACAATCCTGATATTGTATTAGAGGAAACTGATTTGATTAATTTGAGAAGTGATTTGTGAAATTAATTTGAGAAAATGACTTAAACTTTTAAATGCTAATAGAAAAAGTCTGACAGTTCTAAGAAGTCTGAATTGTAACAGAAGAGAATGGTTTACTCTAAGCTGCTAAAAGCTAATGATCCTGTCATTAAAATCATTTGAAGTATTATTAAAACACAGAAAAACATTAAAATCTTTCTCTGTGCAAACTGTATCAGATGTGTGACTATATGGCAATGTAATAAAATATGATATGTGTATCTTTGTTACTTAAAAGCAATTTTAAGCTGTGTTTGGCAAAACAATAAGGAGTTGAGACAATTTATTTAAATTGAGAATGGGACAAGACTTAATGAAATCACATCATATTGAGTAACTGCACATTAATGTTATTCAGACACTGTAAATTTTAGTTACATGTGGCTATCAATATCACCCACCATTCAAACAAACAGGAAAGTTACCATAATCTTTTAAATTATTTGTCCTTTAAGGGTATTCCGTTTTAGGTACATCTTAAAATTCACCCATATCCAAAACAGCAACATGAACATCCAAGTACCAGTATATGTAGTATATCCTACATGTTGCTGTTATTAGCGTTTGGAGCTTTGCAACAAAATCTTGTAAAAACACTTACAATACGAATCAAGTGTATTTCCCTTGTATCAACTATGGAACATTTCTCCCCCTAAAATTCAGAATGTCTATAATGTAATAACTAGTCATGCAATGAGGTTCCACTGAATTTTAAAGTTACCACAAATTTTACACTTGTTTTTTTCCTACACGGCACGCAAGTTTTTATGCACATCTCTCAGTTAATAAAAATGAGTTTGACTCTGGTTTTTTTTCTTGCACTTCATTGTTTACCAAACACAATTTGGGGGAGGGGGGGTTCTTAAAAACTAATTTTTTAGTGATAAATGAACATGTTTCACGGTTACAAACACACACACACACACACCATACCCTGTTAAAACACACAGAACCTGTGTATTCACAGTGCTTGAATGCCTGGATAGAAACATTTTTAAAGCACTAAGGGCAGTATCTAGGTGTAACAATTTTATAGATTTCACCTGGCAGTTATTTATTACCTAGAACTAGTAAAAAATAGTAATGTAGAAAGCATTAATGTAGAAAAGTTATTCTCTCAACTCAAAATAATTTGTGATGTGATTTTTTTTATATAGGTGAGGGCACAGATATATATGTATATATATATATATATATGCACATATTTATGTATATATAAAATCAGTTGCTTAAAAGCATGACTTCAAAATTTTCAGTTATGTGTATTATTTCATTATATATGTATACACACACACATATGAAATCTGTTGCTTAAAAGCAATTTGTTGTTGGTGTTCAATATCATAAACAAGGGGGAAATGTCTTCTTGAAATAGAATAATAGTTTCAAGAGGCCATTAATTCAACCATGAAGACAGCTTTAGCAATTATGCCAAAGGGCATCAGGTGTACTATGTAAGGAAAACAAGACTGAACTGTAGAGGCTGAAGGGAATATTAAGGAAATGGCCTCCAACAGTTTAAAAGGCAATATGCTAAGTACCTCAATGTTGTACTTTATGTATACAGTTTCTCTAAAGTGGAATTAATAAAGGAAACAGTTCACAGCTGGAACTTATTATGTTATAAACATGAATATGGTGTTCAGATTTAAACAATGTTCTGCACTGATTTCTGTAAAAATGTCATGAACATAATTAATTTGGATTTCCAGAGTGAAAGAAACAATGACGAGTTGTTTTATTTTGAGTAGCCCAGCATTAATCATCTCTCCAAAACTCTACGTTGCAGACAACCAATCACTAATAGAATATTTGGCAAGGTAGTATCACCAGCTTACAATTTACTTTTTCATTCACCTTTCATCCATTGGGAAAAGATAGTAGGCTAAGGGAAGGTATTTTATCAACAAAGAATGAATCAGCAACCAGCTAATTGTAAGGAATTAAAACATCCTTTCTTCCATAGAGATGGAAAGAATGTCTTCTTTAAAAAACAAAAATTTTCCTATAAAATAATCAAATGTCAAATAAAACCAATACTTTGATTATATTTAAATACATATAGAACCTAATTTTATTTATTGTTTTTTACTTACAGAATTCACTTTTAATTTTACAATAAAAATTTTACAATGTTGGACATTTATGCCATCCAACTAAAGTTTATCACTTTTTTCCTCTTCAACTTAACTAAGCACCTTCATTGTCTTGATCTCTCCCAGTTCTTATTTTTCTTTCTCTGTATGTTGTTACCTTGCTTTGAATTTTCAGTACTTGTTTTCACTAAAACACATCTCCTAGAACTCCAAGTCGCTCTTTTCTCTGATTTTATACCAACTTACTTCTTTCTCTTATGTTACAGTCTGAGTTTTTCTCTTAGAACCTCTTCACAGTATTCTTTCCATTTTCCTTTATTTGAAAATTTTTCTGTTGTTAGAAGCAATGAGACTCCTGAGTTCTATATTAGTTCCATACCTGTATCTGTGATAGAGGGACAATGCTGACTCAACTCTGCTTGAAAATTAAGTTCCTATTTCTTCCATTCATCTCTGCACATTATCTCTTGGACTAGACAAATGTTCAGATTCTTGAAACTCTTTTTTTTTGTTTTTTTTAGGGTGTATCTTGTTCTTTAACTCTGTTTTGCACGTTTTTGACACCTGTCAAGTCTTCTACTTGGTTCTTTTCTTTAGGAGTTTTGACCGTTGGTGCCTGTTGGGTCTTTTCTGGGTTCACACAGAAGTTTCCCACAGAAGTTTTCAGAATTTTCCTGAGTGTTGTTAGTTCAGTGGATTCACATTTCTCCCTGGGAGAAATCCAAGCTTCTTCTTGATTGTCTTATATTCTGGGGTCCACCATTTACTGTGTAGTTTTCCTAAGGCCCTTGGCTCCTGTTGAGTCTTCCACTGGTTCTTTTGACACCCGGAGTGAGGTTTCACCTTTTCCACATTTCCGCTTGGGAGATGAGGAGTTCTTGTTGCTTTTGCTCTCTGGTTGCTTTGGTGCTTTTAGACGCTCTCTGATGCCTTCAGATCTTCTACGGAGTCTGCGCTTTCCTTGTTCTTCTCCAGCTGTATCCTGAATATTCTTAGATTTCCTCATCATTCGGGTTTGTGCTTTGGACTGTTCTAAGCTTTTTAAAGTGGACATCACAACCATTTCTGTATTTCTCTGGTTCTGCTGGTGTTTCCCTGAATTCTTTGATATCTGCCAGGTCTTCGGAGGGCTCTGGTTTTATCTTGAGTGTCTTCAGCAGCCTCCTGATGATGCCTGTTAGAATTTCTACTGGTTCTGGGTCTGCTTTCAAGTGTTCCTAAGCTTTCTGTGAACCTTACCATCACTGGTTTGTTCCTTTAGGTTTGTAGGA